CCCATGGCCATGACATAGAGAGAAAGGCACCAGAGTCCCCTGCGTCTGAGCGGTAAGGCCAAAGGAGTCCTCCTCCCTAAGTTATAGAAAAGAAAGAAGCTCAAGACACATGTTCCAAGCTATGGATGAACTCAGCCTTCAGCCAAGCTATTCCCAGCGCCTCTGCCTCTAGCCCTATGCCTTGCCCAGCGCCCGTGTGACCCCTCCGCGTCCCAGCCTGGGCTCACATCTGAGCACATCTTGCTCTTTCTCTTAAGCTGAATTGCACTGGGACTTCCTTTTCCAGGCACTCTGAGGACAACAACCCACTTGGGGAGTGGTTCGTAAGCAACAGGTTGAGACCAAGATTGTGTTTCAGCATATCTAGAACTTTAAATTCTAAATAGCTTAAGTTTAAAAGCGTACGATCTAGTGTCGTGCTTCTCAAACTTTAATGTACACACCGTTCCCCCAGAGATCTTGTTAAAAGTCGAATTCTGATGCAATAAGTCAGGGTCAGAGTCCAAAATGCTGCACTTCTGACGAACCCCCAGGTGATGTCAGGGCTGCTTCTGGTCCGAGGACCACACTTAGTGTTTGTTGCAAGGGCCAGAGTGCGTCTCCATGGGACTGCATGCTAGAGCCATCTGGTGGGGCCTTTCTCCTGTAGATTCAGGTTTAACTGGTTTAGGGTGAGGCCCTGGCAGTGGTATTGTTTAAAAGCTCCCCATGTACACAGCCAGAGTTAAGAAATAATGGCATAAGGGTCAAAACTTATTTTTACCACTAAATGCACGGAACCATTGCACTAACCTGTGGTACGACTCTGCGAAAGTAATTTCCTTTCAACCCCATCAGGGTTACAAAGGGAATGACAGTTGTTGCTTTTCTTTTCTTTTTTTTTAACAACATTAAAAAAAGATGAAAGAGTATTTTCCTGCTTAATTTTAACCTGGTTGTTTTCATTCTAACAGAATGTTAACTTTATCCAAGCCAAGCATATATCTTCATCTACCTTATTTCCCCTTTTTGAGTCACAGGGCAAAACTGGCTTTAAATTTTCTGTGTTTGATTTAGCAATCAGGGCAAAATTGCCCCCCGAAGGAGTGAAAATTGGTTCCTGGGGAATGAGGAAATATTAAATATTACAATAGTTTGTGGCTCTCCAAAGCTCAAACCTACCTGACAAAGTCTTCCTTTGTATTTAATTTCTCCCGTTAAGGATAAATTAACTTTAATTAAACTTTAGTATTTAAAATTTTCTCCTTAGGGGATGATAATGAAAAAACGTCATGAAACACTGTTCTAGACAAAGACAGCGGAAACTCCACTCATGTGGAAATCCTGAGCTGTGCCTGGGCAGGGTTCACGATACCCTTCCTGAGGGATGAAATTTGGGCTTGACAACAATGAATTTGGGGAGAAATCTTCAAAAGCACTTTTCTCTCTTCTCAATAAAAAAGTATTCTCCCGATTTAAAAAAATTAGAGGTCCTGGAGCATCTAGTTTTGTATCCAGTAATGAGCTCCTTGCTGACGTGACACTCCAGAATCTGGTGTTGAAAGCGTGGGTACCAAGGTCAGGGCCCCCGGGTGTAAATCAGACCCTCTCCTTCAGTCTGGGGCTTTCAGCAGGTTCTCTTACCTCTCTAAGCCTCATTTGCATCTATACAATGGAAATAAAACTTAGCTGGTAGATTTGTTATTCAGATGAAACATGAATTAAGAGTAAAGGATGTAAAGCAGTGGCTGGTTAATAAGTGCTCGGTTAGTGTTGGGAGCCATAATGGTTGTTAAAGCCTGTCTACCTACCTACCAATCAATCATCTGCCAACCTATCATCATCATTATAGTAAAAATATCTGCAGGCACAAAATAGTCTCCTCACTCTCAGACCCTGTCCTCACCAGACCTGAGCGAGTGCGTATAACTGCTTTATGATCAGCCTTCCTGAGCTAATGGAGAATGGGGGTGCTCCCCTCTCCCTCTGCGTCCCCATGGACAACTGAGCCTTGGCGTGATGCATTTATGTGACTGCTCTGTCTGCAGTGCTGACAACTGTTAGATTAAATAGCCTGGAAGAGAAAGAAGGTATCCCATGAAAGAAAATTTGGTCCTAGAGTCCACTAGCCAAAATGGTCTCTGATTTCTTCCTGCTATTGCGAAATAGAGCCGGATTTACTTTAGCCAAAATAAATACAACCAGAAAAAAAAAAAAAAAAGATTAAGTTTTTTTAAACAAAGAAACCAAGAAAGAATAATACATATAGATCAGGAAAAGAATAATTTTGTATAATAACAGAACTGTAGTCTTTTATAACCTCAAATGCAAGTCATATCTGAAAACTTTTATTTTGCTCCCATATCCATATTTACTCAACTTGGCTAATGCTGGTGTTTTAAATCTTGGTCTTGGTGAATGCTGCTATTATCCTTTGGAATATGAGTTCCTTGAAGCACTCTGACATGGAAGAGAAAGCCAAAATAAACTGGGCTTGTGGCAAGTCTGCTATTGTTTCAGAGAATCATTTTAAAAAATGCATTCAGATCTGTGTAAATGCAGGACTGGGATAGGTGTGATTAAAACTTTACCCACGACTTCACAGAATGCTTTTCTTAACGAGCCGATCGTTATAATCCATTACCAAGAATGGGAAGCACGTGGGTCCCTGGGGCCATATCTTAGAGGCTCTGTCAGGGCCGCTAGCACACCTGTGTGGGGTCGGTCAGCATCCTTAGAGGAGCATCCAGCACAGGTTCCTCACTGCTTCTGTCAACTTCAACGTCCAGCCTAAATCGAGGTTGCAGCCAGCTTTGGCTTTTTTGGGTTCCTGGCCCAGTTTGTACACAGTTATTGGAACGTTACATGAGTTCCCAAGAACAGGCATATGTGTAACTCTACACCTGCCCTAAGGGGTTTACATTCCTGCCGTGATCATAGACAGATAAACAGGTGAGGAGCAGGGAGTTCTGGGATCACACATGACAGAGGAGGAGAGTCAGGCAAGGCTTCTCATCAGTGACCTTCTCGGAAGAGACCCGCAGAATGAATCGGCCAGGCAAGACGGACAGGGAGCGAACACTCCAAGCAGAGGCAGGTGTGAAAGCCAGGATACAGGACAGGAGATGGTCACAGGGAGGAGGCAGGAGGGCTAATCCGGGGCCAGGTCACACAGGGCCTTGGCAGCAGTGTTAAGGAATTCGGACACTGTCTAGAGGCTAGTTTTAAGTAGAGAGTGACCTGGTTGGATTTACATGAAAGATTAAAATGCAGTAGCCTAAACCTTTGCAGAAGTGAGGGCCAGCCAAACTGTCCAGGCAGTGACTAGACTGTAACTTCACAGAGCAGCCTGGTCATCTCCACTTCACCTGAGCTACTTCACCTGGTATTCTTATAGAAGCTATGCTTTATTAAATTGTCTTTTCTATTAAAGACAAAAGTCAGACTGCTTTTATTCTTTCTGATTTATGATTTTCTCTGTTCGGGACAGTATTACTTGGTGTTGGTCAGTCTCGAACTGCTAGGCTGACAGGACTTTGAGACCGACCTAGTGCTAACTGATCTTGTGGCCACAAAAACATCATCTGCCGTATTTCTGCATCAGTGTGCCAACAGCATAGTATTCCGGTAGCATTAAAAACCCAGCGCATTTTCCAAAGAACTTTCTTTGGCTGAGAAGGAGTTTGATAAAAAGTTCTAATAGATAACAGTGAGAACAGAAAAAATATAATATGTGGCTTCTTCTCTGGAGATGTTTACTGTCTGGACGACATAACGATAATAAGCACATTAAACAGCATTAAAATTATGACAAAGCTGTGATCAGTAGGTACAAATGGTTTTCTACACATTGACCAGTGATGGCAGGTGTAGAGCAGGAGAAATTATCCTAAAGTTCAGAGAAGGCCATCTGGGCAGAAGGTGAGCCAAGGGGTTGGCCGAGAGTGGAGAAAGGCATTCCAGGTGAAGGTCACGGAGATGCACACCCACTGACAAAGAGCAAAACCTTTGCTAAGCAGCATGGCCTTGCTAAACCTGGGTTTGAACTGAGTGATAAGGAGGGATAGTGTTGCAGATGAGTGGGATAATCAGATCCTCCAGCTGAGCCACCTGGAATTCATGGCAGAATTTGGCAGAATATATTCATTCTCGTGTGACATGATCCTAATTAGTTTTTCTCTAACTGCTCACCAATTACAGATACTTGATTCTTTCTGTTCTTTCTTTCTTTTCTTTCATTTTTTTTCATTCTTTTTCTTCTTTCCTCTCTTCCTTCCTCCCTTCATTCCTTCCTTCCTTCCCTGGTTCCTCCCTACCTCCCTTCCTTACCTCCTTCCTCTCTTCCTCCCTCCCTTTCTTTCAGATTCTTATCTTTATATATTTTGGTATCATTTTCCTTAAAACCCTAATTGTGATTCCCTTAACAACCAGATTTTCTAGTGAGCACCAAATAGTAGTTTCACCTCCCCTATTTTATTGTTTTGTTTGAACCTTAGGTTCTTTCCTGCCATCATGCTTTGTTGTCAGGGTGAATCTTTCTGGTCATCCTGGAGGGACCATGCAGAGAGAACTTGGCAAACTAGTTCCGTGAGTTGTTGATTAACCTGACAGTGAGGAGGATGCTACCCACCAAGGACATCTTGTCCTTGGTGCCCCAATAACTTATTTGTATTAGCCTGTCGCTTTCTCCGGCTCTTGTTTTCTCATTTAAAAAACTAGGATAATGATATCTGTATCTACCTGCAAGAATTTAGTAGCATCTTAAAAAGATTCTCCACACATTAGAAAATGCTGAGACGTGTAGCTATTTAAAAGATCACGTTGAGATGTGGGACCGTCATTGGCAGTTTGGGGGCAATTATTTCAGAAAAGACTCAACATGGTGACTGCAATTTACCCACTGTTTTTAAAACTTGAATGATACATGAAACGATTTCAGGAACTCATTAGTTTTTCGGTTTTCCCTGATGGCTCTCTAGATGCCTACCCTGTCGAAAACAAAAACATGTTTTCTGTTTCAGATCGCAGAGGGAATGGCGTACATCGAGAGGAAGAACTACATTCATAGAGACCTAAGAGCCGCTAATGTCCTGGTCTCTGAGTCGCTCATGTGCAAAATTGCAGATTTTGGCCTTGCTCGAGTAATTGAAGACAACGAGTACACAGCAAGGGAAGGTATGTTCCCCTGACGACTTTTAGGTGTTCTGTTAGTGTTTAGTTTTATTTCATTTTTGTCTGTTTTCAACAAAGCAATTTCAAGAGTCAACTAAAAAAAGAACTTTGGCAAAATATTCCAAATGCACTGTAGTTGCTGTTTGTGGTTCTCTTCTAATATTTGTTTTTAAAAATTACTCTCTTGATTAACTCCATTGATACTTTTATAACATTTACAAATGCTATCATTTGTATTTCAATTGAGCAAAGCAAAACAAAAAGAGATTTGGCAAGGTCAAGATTTTTTGTTATATTGTATGTTAAAGCTTTTCACCCAAACAATGAAGTACACTTTCCTTAACTACCATATAGACAAATTACTTACAACAGTAATTTCACATTCTATATTGTGGCCGTCCAAATACAAATTAAAACATTGTAATCATTATAGACATAGAGGTAAATATAACACACAAAATACACTCCTTTATTTTCCCACATTCTGTATAGTAAAAATGCATAGAGAGACGTAAAACTCCCAGTTCCTGCCACGTTGCTCTGTGGACAGGCCATATCTGGGGCTACAGAGGCCTTTCCTGTTGGAGACTCGATGTCGCTTATGACCTGAGGATTCTGAAGGTCTCGCTCATGAAGGCTGAGTGAATGTTTTTGCAGTGCTTTTACTCTTTCAAAGGAGCCAAGCACTTTCTTGACATTCCTAAGAGCCGTTAAAGATTATTTTCCTTTTAACTACACGTGTGTTATTTCTGAAAGACGTCGGCAGGACTTACGGAGGTGACAAACAGATTGAACACGTCATTTTGATTTGTTTAGCATCTTTTGCATCTATCATGTTTAAGGTGGTTCTCCTCCTACCTCAAGCTTATATTCTCTTAGATGAGTCATTACTTGTTCTTAACCTTAACTAACTTCAAAAGGCAGGTGCAAGAGAACAGTTTCAGGAAAAAGAGTCAAAAAATAATAATAATAATACCTAAAATGTAGTGAGCATTTGTAGCATGGCAGGCACTATTCGAAGTGCTTATCATATATTGTATCATTTATCTTCACAATAATCCTATGTGACAATTATTATTATTCCCACCTTACAGATGAGGAAACGGAGAGGTTTAGCAGCTTCTGAGGTCCCCATAGTAAGTGGTAGAGCCAGGATTAAACCCAAGAGATCTAGCCTCAAAACACATGAGCTAGAATTTATTCCACTGGTTTTGTTGAATTTGACAAGCCTAGAGTCTCACGAAAATAACTTTTATCATATGAGACAGGTGGCTTAGTATAGAGAACTCAGCCTCTGGAATTAAACAGTAAACCATCAGGACAACATCAAGGCGATTTACCTTTTATTTACACTGTGTCGAGCACCCAGATCAACCCACTTACCCCTGAGAGCAACCTGGGGAGGGTCTGATATTGGCTCGTTTTACAGATGAAGGTGCCAGGAAGGCACAAAGACAGTAAGTGACTTGCCAGGGTCACACCAAGCTGGAATCAGCAGAACCTGGATTCAAAGCCCAGCAGGTTGTGCTGAGAGGCCCCCAGGCAGGGCCCCGGCCTGCTCCTCTCACTGCTGGCTCTGGGCAGGGGGCTTAATGCTGGAATGTGTGACAGTGAGTGCTTGTGTCACACACGCACACACACCCACACACTCACACTCACTCACGCACACACACAATAGCTGCTCCACCGGGCTTTCCGCTGTTATTGTTCTTATGTGGATTTCCAATTTTGGTCTGACATCCAAAAAAAAAAAATCTAAAGCAAAGACATAATAAAGGCAAATAGGTTTAAAAACTTTTTAAGTGGTTGGTGGAAACCCCTAGCCCTCCCAGGGTGTGGGAGTGACAGTCTGTGCCCAAGTCCCTACTTTCCTCAAGCTGACCCTGGAGTTCCTCGGGCCAGGTTTGCCTCTCATGTGGCTGGGTGTCCCTTAGCCTCACCAACTTCTCATGAGAAACCTAGTGTCATCTCTGTCTCATTCTGGGCAGATCATCATCCTGCCCAATTCCTAGAAATGTAATAATGTTTGGTCCTATCAATGAAAGCATGAGACATTAAAGTTTGGAGTAGTATCTGACATTCTTGTCGGTACAGACTTAAAGAGATTTAGCCACAAGAATATACACATGAGCAGATATTTATATTCCATAGAAACATAGTATGGGTTCTTTAGAGAAAATTCGAACACTCAAGATTACATATATGCTTTAGAGGCTAGCGCTGAGGGACAAATGTACAAGCTAAGAATAAATGCCTTTACATCCTGTGTCATGTGCTTTTATGTTTAAAGTGGGCTGGTTAAGATATCTCTGGGAGGAGACACGAGAAACTTTGCTTCTTAACGGGGAAATGCTCAAGAGGGAAACAGAGGAGAAAGGCAAATACTTAAAGTATAACATTTCGTACCACCTGTGTTTTGTGCTATGTGTGTGTCACCTATTCAAAATAAATAATTAAAATTTTCTCGAAAAGAAGGAAAGTGTGAGCGTCACATGCCTATGACTTCTTTGTTTCAGCTCAGAGGCCCAAGTAAGTCTCCTGTGTCTTCTTCCGTAGGTGCTAAATTCCCCATTAAATGGACAGCTCCAGAAGCAATCAACTTTGGATGTTTCACTATTAAATCTGATGTGTGGTCCTTCGGAATTCTCCTGTATGAAATTGTCACCTATGGGAAAATTCCCTACCCAGGTATCCTTTACTTACCTATTTCCATTGAAGTGGTATATATGAGAAAAAAGCCAAGGCACGAGGCATTAAAAAAAATAAATAATCTCATATCCAAAAGTTAAGAATAAGCCCCTTTGTGAGAGAACTTGATTTTGACTGTCGTAGTGGAAAGTGCTCTAAAATATGCTCAGACTCTTCTCTGCGTTTTTATTTGATTAAACACATATTCCTTTTCTTACTAATTAATTCCCCCACTTACTTCATGCCTAGAGTGTGCCTGGCGTGTCGTAGGTGTTGTGGATGTGAGGGTGGAGTAGAGGACTAGGCACAGGTGCTCCCACTAAGCCACGCACCTGGTGGAGGAGGATGCGCACAGAAATGGGGATTGACAATTCTTTTTGATTCGGTATGAGAGGTCTGTATTTTGGAGCCTCTGCCACTTCAAGGAGTAACCACTTCTGTTTACCAGCAAAAGATCTGTCACTTGCTAGATGCGAGAACGACATTCAGTATTTCCAGACCCCTAACATCTAAAGCCCTTGGCGCCGGATTCTTCTGCCCAGGATCTGTGCTGGAATGTGCAAGAGACAGCTTTCTCTCAAAGCCTTCCCATTCTTATTAATGTTTGGCTTTTAACAACATTGACTGATAAGGTGAATTTAAAATTAAATCTTGAATGTTTAAATCATTTCCTCATCGAAAAAATATCTGCGGGTACCAGGCACCCTCAAGGTACCAGATGCAGCAGCCACAGCTCCCGCCCTTGAGAGCTAATATTCTCGTAGTGAGAGACTGATGATAACCAAATGGCGACAGTCTGTCAGGTGAAGGACACTATGGAGAGAGCTGAAGTGGCTTAGGGATTAGCCAGGGGAGACAGGGGACTGCTGCTGGTTTTATACAGTGATCCTTCAGGGGCGCAGTGACAGAACCTGAGGGAGGGAGCCATGGGGCTATGGGGGGCCGAGTGTCCCACAGGAGAAACAGCCAGGGCACAGGACCCGGGACAGGAGCGGGGGGCCCCGTGGTCTGGGCCTCGGTGAAAACTGGCTGAATGAATGAATGACGTTCCTAGGCTATTTAATCTCTAGATTGTTTCCAGGCCATGGATGAGAAAGTGGGAGGCGAGAGAGCTGGCGGAGGCCGTGGAGTTGGGGGCAGAATGGATGGGAGGCCGCAGAAGAGCTTCGCGTTTTACTCCATGAGATTTAGAAACCAAGGAAGGCTTTCAGACAAAGCGGGGATGCAGTCTGCTCCTGATCACCCTCACTGCTTTTGGGGATGAGCCACAGACCTGGGGATGGGAGAGCCCTTGGGGGGGTGCCTGCACCAAGGGCTGACTCTCCCATGAGCTCCCCTTTGTGCCAACATTTCATATTCTGACTGCCGCCCTGCTCTAGACACTGACGTTAATCAATAACACTACTGTAAAACAGGGAAACTATTTTTTGATCGATCCTAATGTCTGACATTATATATCTATAATCTGTATCTACACCTATCTATTTAGAAAGGTTATATATTCAGATTATATAGATAATCTGATACCTGATCAAATAAACATATCACCTCATGAAATGATGTTGCGTGATATGTGTGACACACTCCAGCGATGTATAGACAAGGCCTAGGGCTCAGGGAAGGAGACCTTTGCCCAGAACTGTGTCGCTAGCTCCTGGCAGAGTGGCTTCTGAACCCCAGGCCTGTGTGCCTCCCAAGACCTCACTCTTGCCCACTGTGCTCAATGCCCAGGATCTGAAAATATTTGGGGTGAAAATCATAAAAAATATAAAAGAACCAGTAGAAAAATGGTGAGAATCACACACACGCATACACACACACACACACACACACGTAAAATACAGTAGGACCAACCAGAAATCAATGACCGGTCTATTCCCCAGTTAGCTTGTCCTTCGTAAGGACTAGGGATGTGACATACCTCGGGAGTTCTGGATTGAAAAGGTTTTCCAGTCATAAAAGTTACATTTGAGTGCCTCTAGCTTTAACAAATGTGAGCAGATCAAACAATCCTATTTAGTTAAATCTCAGAGGACTCGAATCACAGATAGCATAGAAATTGGTGAACATTGGCAAAACTTGCCATTTCCATCACTGTTATAAAGCTGCTTATGGAAGAGACTCACTGATAATTGAGTTATCTGAGAATATATTTTTTACATGGCAAAGTGCTGGATATGTTGTTAAGTGTTTTTTTTTTTTTTAATGGTTTAAAGTTTTATGTGTAGCTTTGCAAAATAAAAAGGGGACAAAATAAAGGAGGGGGAAAAAACTAAAAAGAAAGCCACATACAAAATGAACACTTATTTTTAGAGGGAAAAAAAGACTAAAAAGGATAATATATCAAAATGTTACTATCCTTGCGCAGTGAGATATGAGGGTATGTTATTTTTTTTCCTAAATTTCTGAAGTTTCTAATTTTTTACAATTATGTTTTTTATTAGATAGTATTAATATCTAAGTACTATATGCACATGAAGAAATCAGGAAGTGCAGAAAGGCTTCTGAAAAATTGCCTCCCCGGCCTCATGCTTGCTGACGCTCCTCAAAGACGACTACTAATATTTGCTGTCCATAGTTCTAAACATTATGCTCATAGTATTATTTCCGAAGTGAAGTATTTTCCCCAGTTTTACTTACTATTAAATAAGAATATGGTCACGTGGTTCTAAATTCAAGAGATACAAAGAAGTCTAAGGCGAAAGAGGTACGCGGTGTGTCTTTCGCCCCTGTTCTCCAGCCACCATAGGACATCCTCTGGGAACACAAGAATAAATTGTACAATTTTGCCAATAAAAGTTACTAAAATTCTAGTAGTCAGATACTAAATGTGTGGGAGCAGAGCGTCAGAGAGTCATTCCCCATTGCAGTCCTACTCATTGAAATAGATACAATAAGCAGGAACATCTAATACCACGGACTTCTGTGCATATCGGAATATAAGTCAGGAAAATGTTTTGTACCATGCTTTTTAGAAAAAGGCTTTTTACCTATTAATTATATTTTGGGCAAATCTCAAAAATCCTTGGTCTTCAATTACTGTTAGTCCATTTCCACAAATTTTCGTTGTGTTTTAAATTTTTTTAGCCCCCATAGACTCAGAACCATGAGGAGTTGTTTTCTCTAAGCATTCTCTTGTTCTCCTTGGTGAGTGAGCCTGCATGAGTAAAGGCAGTTTATCATGGTTGTTGCTGTACTTGACTTTGGAGTTTATCTTCATGAAAATTCGAGGTGTCAAGTTAGTCTCCCGCTTCTAATTCCTACTTTGAAGATAGAATCCATCCCCAAATAGGACTTTTTCTTGAGAGACTCATGACTACATCCAATTAAGTAGCTAAATAAGTACAGTTATCAAATTTGCTTATGTTATGAATGCTAAAATGTGAAACACTTTCACCTAGAATTTCAAACAAATTCTTCCACCAAACCACCTTCCGAAGTGGCTTGACGGAAGGCCGATGGCTTCCACATCAGTCCTCTGTCTAGGATCTCATCTCCTCTGTGGAAGAACTAAGGATCTCTCTTTATCCCTGATATTTCATGACGGTGTACTTCGGTGTGGCGCTTTTGTCATTTTTACGTTATGTTGGGTGCTTGTTTTGTCTTTTCTATTTGGAAACTTGGAGACGAATTCTGGGAAATTTTCATAGATTGCTCCTTTGAAAATTTCCTCCTCTCCATTTTCTGTTCTCATTCTGAATCACTTGCTGGTAAGATGGCAGACCTCCTGGAGTGAATCTGTGAGTGTCATGTCTACTCTTCTGTCCCCGACGCTCTGTCCGTTTGTATTACCCTCAGGTTTACCTTCTCCCTTTCCTTTGATGAGATATCTCATGGGAAGGAGGGTCTCTCGACCATCAGGCTTACTTGTCAGCATCCTCCTGGGCCAGTATCTTCAGGTCTGTTCTCTGAGACCATTCAGTTCCTTCAGAAGAGAATCTTCCAGGCCTTGCCTGGGGGGTACGAGCCTGGCTATCAGCATTCTGGAGGCTCACTGGGGAGGGGACATCAGTGTCTCTTTTTTCTTGGTATATTTTTATTATGGTTAAATATACATAGAATATAATTTATCATCTTAACTATTTTTCAGTGTATAGTTCAGTGGCATTAAGTAAATTCACATTGTTGTACAACCATCACCACTATCCATTTCCAGAACTTTTTCATCTTCCCAAACTAAAACGCTGTATTCACTAAACAACAATTCTTTATTCCCCCAACCCTCTGGCCTCTGGTAACCTCTAGTTTACTTTCTGTCTCTATGAATTTGACTACCTCTCATAAGTGGAATCATACCGTCTATAGTTGTTGTTTTGTGTCTGGCTTATTTCCCTCAACATAATGGCCTCAGGGTTCACCCATGTTGTGATGTGTGTCACGAGTGTATCGCTTTTTCATGCTCAGCCTTTTTCCTCACTCCCACACTTTACTGCCCCACCCCCACCCTGCCCCACTGTGCCTGGCATTCCTAAGCTTCGAGCTTCTCTCCTTCAGTTTCTCCAGCTTTAACCTGGGGCACTTGCCAGGCAGGCTCTAGGTACAGCCCTGTCTGCAGCCACCGACCTCACCTCTTTCTTTGCATGTATGGCAACTCCACATTGAGCTTTCCCCAATGGAATTGGTGGGATGAAATATTTTGCCTGTTCCTTTCTGGTAGGCACTGTGGTTTCATGTTCCTCCTCTTGGCTCACTTCTGCCTCTGGCTGACAAGTGTCTCCTGGTTCCATCAAAGACACAGTTTAAGTTTCTGTTTCTTGTTCTCTTTTTGTTTGGGGATGAATTAAAGAGGAAAAAAAAAGGAGGTAAGGCAAAAGGTCCTTATTTCACTGCCTTAAAAGCAAAGCCGTAATAATATTTATATCTGAATTTTCTAAAGAAAATAGAAGGGATTCCTGTTTGGAGGGATTGTTTTGCTTTGCTCTTATGAAGAGAAAGGAGCTTTGGAAATGAAAAAATATTCTGAAGCATCATGTCTTTTCTGGCTATTTCTTACCAGATATATTTAGCATCTTAGTGCCATACATGAATCAGAACCAGGAAACTCATCCTGCTGTGTATGCTTACCTTGGTCACAGACAGTGCTCAAAAGGACTAATTGACCCTTTTAGGAGTATTATTGGGTGGATGACTGTGGTCCCATGGTAGCTGGTACCTCCTCCCTCACACATACACACACACGCAATAGAGGGCAGCTGTATCTTTAAAGAGTGTCATGGTTCCTGGAGCTACCATCTCCTGTCACTAACCTCCTATTCCCTTCTAATCTTTGTTGTATTGCATTTTCCTCCTTCCTGAGCTCCTTCATCAACTTTTAGTCTCTGCCGATTCTTACCCATTCCAGAAGTCACTTTCTGCTCCCACCCACCTTCCTCTCCTGGGGCCGTCTTCCCCCACAGGGTTATGTGCCATTTCAGGGAAGTCTCTATCATAATCATCTTTGCATCTCTCAGAGCTTAGCGCTATCTCATGACTCATAGTAAGTTTTCAATAAATGTTTGTCAAAAGAATGAAGGATAGAATATGAAAGTGCTTGCCTTTTAACATCACCAGCCAACGGGTGTTTGTTGTCTTTAACTTATTACCATACAGATTACCAAGTATCAGGTTTAATCTTAGGGTCTGGTTCAAGTCTCTTTCCTACTCTCTTTCTTCCATAAGACTTGTCATTTAATAGCCTTATTTTCTTTATTAGTTTACTTGTACATATAAAAAAGTAGACTTCAGATTTCCTTCTTTTTATTTCTCTTATCAAAAATTCTCCAGGCAGGAGGAAACATGCCTGGCCTTTATCTGCGTCATTGAGAGAGTTCTTCAGCATTAGGAGGACATATAAAAGCAAGGAAGAAAAGTCTGCAGTGGCACCAGGGAGCCCTAGAAAAATTTGTCTTCTGTGGGCACATTCTGACCTTTTGAGGGTTCTCCGGGGAGGAGGTGATAAAGATACTCCTAAGCAGGTTTGCAGGTCTAGCTGCTTTTTCCAGCACCCTGGGTGATTTTCCCACCAGGGTCCCAGAACTTCATCCAGTGCCCATGTAGAAGTAAACACAGATATTCCTTCTGAAATTTATCCAAGTGAGCTTGGCTAATTGGAAGAGCCAGAGCGATGCTGGGCCACCAAATTTATGGAGACCAGAACCCAAATAAAGAAAGTGATGCCGATTGGCCCCTTGGCTTTAAGCAATTAGGATTAAATGAAGTCTTGCAGTTAGAACAATCCAGTTACACAAATATTTGAATATGGTATTTAAGAAATAGACGAGCAAAATTAATTAACCATGTAAACAACTTTCAAAAGATCTTAACAATTCTAAAATTGGCTTGGGTCTTTCCATTTCAAAACCAAAGGCTCTTCCAGGATAGAAACAATCATGTCTTCTTTCAGGGGTTTAAATCCAGGCAGGGACCTTCAGTCACTGTGTCCTTAGAAGAAGAAAGGTTAGTTAAGGGTGGAATTCAAAGGTCACTGATCATGACCCATGATAAGAAATATATAGAAACACACTCCATACTAAAAACAGAAGTTTCGCAAAACCACACTAACTTTTACTACGTAGAGCACATTCTGACTTTTTAATGCTGTTATGATTTTTTAAGCATTTTATTTTATTATTAGTTTCGAGTATACAATACATTGGTTAGACATATAATTTATGAAGCAGTTTCTCTAATTGCTCTTTCTCTCCTCTGGCCCTCCATCTAGCCATGACATTACCGCTGACTGCATTCCCTATGCCGAATGACGTGCTCCCCATCCCCGTGACCATCTACCAGCGACTAATTTGTGCTTCTTGAACCCTTCACTCCTTTCTCCCAGCCCCCCAACTCCACCCTCTCTGGCCATCACCACATTGCCCCGCCCGGTCACCAGATTGTCCTCTATATTTATGAGTCTGTTTCGATTAGTTTGTTCTTTTTTTTCCTTAGATTCCACATATAACTGGTAGCTCCCTAAAAAATGAATTTGATGATTCCAAATGGTGGTGACCCATAATTTGAAAAACACTGCTTAGAGAGTAAATTCAAAAGAAAGTTCTATGCCAAATCTAGTAAGAGACATTTTTCCTAAAGCTTCTAGCTATCTTTTAGAATTTTTCCAGTGATCACTAGTGGTAAGATCTACAGCTATGGAAAGGAGATAACTATGAAAGGAAGTTGGTTGTGAGGAATGGAGTTCTTTAGCTGCCAGGTACTGTACAAATCCTACATGGAAATATTCTGCATGAAATACAGCTCCTCTGTAGAGCAGTTCATATCTCTACAGAATATAGTATACACAAAATAGGTGAAATACAGATGTGGGTGCTGCTAAAACCCTACATGAGCACATTTGTCCATCCTATTTTAATGGAGGAAATGTTATTAAAATGATCCCCCCTCCCCCCCTAAAGTTATTCTCAGTAACAAAGATCTGAAGTTCAGCTTCTGGACTACCTTGAGACATTTGACCATATTAAAAGCCATCCTCCATTATCAGTCCTCTCTCAGGCTCAGGAGAAACAAGGAACACTCGTGTTCCCTCCTGGATGTTGAGAATATGATCATTCCAGAGTCAGCACGAGCTTTGACTCTGGCCTGTGCGGAAGACTGGGACAATTTAATGATTCGGACATAATCATTTGGGCTAGTTGATTTAAGAATCCTGACTTCTTTAAGTAAATTAAAAATGAAAAGCTGATTTAAAAAGATATATTGGTATGAGATAATGTATGTGCAGTTGATTTTTTGGTAGATGTATTACCTGTAAAAGCTGAAAAAAATACTACAAAAGACAGAGATTAAGGGTTAGGCCTGGGCTTTAGCAGTTCATTCAAAAGATTAGTCAAGTCCAATATCCTTTTGTCATGACAGAGAACTTGCTTTGTCTTATACTTACCACATTAGCCTGTTTTGGAAAACTGAATGCTGTCTTGAGCCCCATTGTACTAAAATTTATATTATTTATATTATTTAGTTGCTTACGGAAATTTCCTTAGCCTTCGTATCAGACTTCTGGGGCTGCCATAACAAAATGCCACAGGCTGAGTGGCTCAAATAACTGAAATTTATTTTCTCAGTCTTGGAGGCCAGAAGTCTGAGGTCGGGGTGTGGGCAGGTTTGGTCTCTTCCCAGGCTGCTTCCGGGCTTATACACGGCCATCTTCTCACTGCGCCTTCACACGACATCCCCAGTGTCTCTTTGTGCCCCGATCTCTTCTTATAAGGACACCAGTCTGATTGGGTTGGGCCCACCCTCCAGGTCTTATTTTAACCTGATGGCCTCTTTAAAGGCCTCATCTCTAAGTACAGCCACGTTCCGAGGTCCTGGGGGCTAAGACCTCGACATGTGAATTTGTGGTGGGGCACAATTCAGCCCACGACAGCCTCTACAGCTTGCTGCAGTAATGCATGCAGGATGTGGTTAGCAAAAGGATCACTGCAGTGCCTACTCCTTGGTCAGTTTCTAAGTGGTATGTGTTTGTTTTGTTTTGTTTTGCTTTGCTTTAGGGAGAACTAATGCTGATGTGATGACCGCGCTGTCACAGGGCTACAGGATGCCCCGCATGGAGAACTGCCCGGATGAGCTCTATGACATCATGAAAATGTGCTGGAAAGAAAAGGCGGAGGAGAGGCCAACGTTTGATTACTTGCAAAGCGTCCTGGATGACTTCTACACAGCCACAGAAGGCCAGTATCAGCAGCAGCCTTAGCGCACAGGAAGACTCGTGGCCATTCACAGGGACGGCCGCCTCATTAAAACGACAGTCGCTGGCTGCAGTAGCTTTCATGCGCTAAGGGCATCTGCCATCCCTGCTTCCTGAAATGAGGCTGAATTACTCAGGAAGAAGCATTCTCCGTGGAAAAGTTTCCTCTTCTCACAGGCCAATGCCTATGGCTTGCAGCTTGGCCTGCTCCCAGCTGGCCATCTTGCTTTCTAGACTGGCATCTGAATGCGGCCCTCTGAGAAGGAACCACCCGTTCTATCCAAAAGGCACCCACTTTGAACTCTTATTTACAATTGCACATGTGGCTCAAAGGTTCAGGCCATTTCAATAAATCCCAAATAGTAGCAGAATTCAACTCATTTATAAAGGTAAAATAACCTGATCCCTATCATGGCACTTCTTTGTATTTTCTCTATGCTTTGGCTTATTTGTTTAAAAATTACTAATCCAACCTGTTAGATTTTGCAAATGAAGTCAGAAGCTTAAAAATGTCTTTCTCAGATTTCAGTGATCGCTCCTCCCCCCAAGATCTGAGCCTATTAAACATTTTCCTTCCGTGGAGACTGCTCAGAACCCTCAGACATGAAGCAGCTGTGCTTTTCTGGTCTCTTCTCTGTAGAAGTGCCGCTCATGAGCCATGCAGAGCTGTTGCAATCAGCGAGCGACGTGGAGCCCACCAAATGCCGGGTCTTGCCTGGACCTCCCAGGAAGGGGAGAGGAGCCTCAGATACCACTCTGCCTTAAGAAGGACTATTTTTAAACGGTCTAGGTTTTCAATCCCACAGTTCCCAATATACAGACTTTTGTTGACAATGTAGTTTGGAAGAACAATAAGATTCTAATCTCTGCAGAACCTTATAAGACCTTATAAAACCTAAGAATTTTCTTTATTGCTTCAGATGATTTGAACATTATTTTAATGATCAAATATTAATTTTAGTTGTACTCAAAGTAATGCCATATTTGGGAGCTATTTGTGATTCTGCAGGCTTTTCTAACCAGTGTAAGATGTGTGTGAAACTATTTATACAGGATATGAAGGAAAATAGTGACTGAGGAGTCTCTAGTGAGCCACTGTAGCAGAGGACACAGGAGGTTTGGTTTACTAAATTTTTCTACTGTGAGCTTTGAATGGAAAATGCTCTATCACATCATGTTTCACTTATGCTGTCATGTATATACCTAATATTTCAATTTTCTGATTTTATTTTAATACACATGTCCAATAACATTCAAGCTGTTCGTTTGCCATTTTTCTTCAGTATTCCTTCTCAGTCAAGCATGTCGTCCTTACCTCCACACTTCTCCCTCAGGGCCACATCGTTCACTTTTAACATGGGCTCCAGCCACGTGGTACTAGGTGGATAGCAAGCACGGTCTCTTCCTTGGGCAGTAGGATTCCAGCCTTCTCATGGCTGAACAGCAAAATGAGGAGTCAAATGGCTTATATCGCCACATCCCAGATCATTATCGGGAACTCAAAAAATAGAATGCCCACTCCCCGAGGTCCTGAGTCCGCTGTTCTGCAGTGAGGAATGTATGTCACTGTACTTGAAAAGCTTCCCCGGTGGATATAATGTATTCTCAGATGTAGCCTCCTCTCCCACCTGATGGCTTGGTTTCCCAAGGGAGGAGTAGAAGAGGAAAAAGGAGGAAATGTCCCTCAAGTGTGGAAATGATAACGGCAGTCTTAATGGCCTTCATCTCTAGGTCCTAGGAAAGGTGTTAGTCAGAAATAATCTGGATTGGCCAATGTACAATGTTAACCCAGAACTTCTAGAATCAAAGGCGGCTTTATTTACAGCACCAAAAGTAGGTGCCATGTCACAGAACTAGAAAAGGATCTGTGAATTTTTTTTTTATTATACTATGCTAGGCTTGAACAACAAATCCTTCATCCCTCAACTGCTACCCTTAGGATCAGATGAGTTTTTGATTTCAGGTTTGTTTTTTTGCATGGTTTTTTTTTTTTTGTTTTTTGTTTTTAACTTAAAAGGTTAATATAAGGAATATACTGAATAATTTGGCAGTAAAACCTTAGTGAACACTGGAGGGAAAAAACCTTTAAAAGTCAAATAAAACATTTCCGCAGAAAAATGCCTAAACTCATACTAAGTGGGATGAATTAGCTTATAAATAGGTTCAGTTCAGATTTTGCCACCAAATGAGTTCTAAAATGGTTTTCAGAGTTTTGTGGACTTTGGAATTGTGATTAGGAGATGGACCCAAAGAGCTAGAAGAATGTGCAAGAACTTTTCATGTCAGTGGTGTATCTGATTCAAACGGAGGACATCGGGATTGTGGTTACTTGAAACCCATATTATGCAGCATATTCCAAGATACAAAATATTAATGTGCCTCTTTAAAACAACAGTCATTAATATAACCTCTGATCATGTACACCTGAGAGAGGTGTGATACTGAGCAGTTCAAGTTGGGAAAGGTATCTTGTGGTTTTAGCTGACCACAAGAGCTGCCAGCATGCTGTGCCTGCTAAAATAGTTAAGGGATACAGTAGTAGGCACCATTAGCAGCTCAAAAAGGCCACAAGCAAAAAGAGATGCTCTTTTGTAACACGAAAGTCAGACCGTGAGGGAGCATTACATTCAATTCTGAATGCTTGAGGGCAGATGCTCAAATCTTAACTACTTTGAAAAGTCCCTTTGATATGGGCAGTAGGGAGCTGCATGGAAGGATTGGGAACATGTCAAACGTCGGAGTCTGGGCGGTCCGTGGAAGCCACACCACAGGCAGAGATAAATGAAATCATTTAAAAACACCTGTCTGTCAAAGAATTATATTTTGAATCCTTTTTGTAAGACTTTTTTTTCAAAGTGGGCTATCAATCTCTTTTGTCCATATACTCAACTTTAAATGAGATGCTCTGTGGGTTAATAGTAGTCATTCGATACAGTGCTTTGTTGAACACTTCCCTGAATACAGGAACTATGCTAGATGTGTGAGGGACATGAACGTTTTGTCTCAAATTGCCTGCTTTAAAGGGACAAGTACAGAGGTTATGTGGGTAGAGCAAGAAAAGGAAAAAACGTGAAGAAGATCATTCTGAGGTGAGATAACAGAGCTGATTACAAGAACGGGCATAGAGGTAAAGAAACGAGATTTCATGAGTAAGTGACATTAGGGATTGGCTTTGAAGGGAGACAGGGCGCTGGCAGCCCAAAAAGAGACTGTGGGGAGAGGTTTTGGAGAAAGGACGCAACAAGGCAGGAAGCCGGGGCAGAGAGTACGGGAAGCGTAGAAGGACAGAGCCGCCTAGACCGATAGCGGTGGGGCTGCGCTTCTCAAGCTGCCCGCGCACCAGAATCGTCTGCAAGGCTGGTTATAACAGATCACCGCCCTTCACGTCCTCCCCTCTCCCCCCGCCCCCAGAGTGTCTGGTTCCAGGGTAGTAAGTAAGTCTGAGAAAGGACTGGAAAATGGGCATTGGCCTTCCTGGCCCTGGGCCACCCTTTGAGACCCACCAGATAGATGCACAGGTGCCAGCAACAGGGGATCCCTGTGAAGCAGGGGGAGGCCACCTCCTGGAGAAAACGCGGGTTCCAGGGGAGGAGTGCAGACTTCACTAGGCCATGCCGGCGGCAGCCCCGCCACATGTGAGAGTCTCACCTGTGGGAGCCCGGCGCAGAGCCCTGCCCCGTGGACTGGGAAGCCCGCCTGGCTCCCTACCCGGTCCTGCTTACCCGGCCCAGCTACAAAGCGGGGCTGAAACTAGTACTCACCTCCTAGAGTTGTTATGAGGAAGAAAAGCAGTGATATCTCATTATGAGCCGTGCACATAGTTAAGCCAATATGTTTGTAAAATAAAGACGTGAAATTAAGATGTTTGTTGATCAAGATGTTAGATAAAACGCAATGTCCGCAAAGCACATAATGATGTCCGATTGTGAGGGACAGGAAAACCAACAAGAAGCTAGAATGGCCGTCCGACGGAGGAAAGAGAAACTCCCAAACTGCACTCGGACCTGCTGTGGGAGACACTAGCCACAGACTGCACAGCGAGAATGGGTTTCTCTGGATTTGGGCTGGGGTGCAGAAATCATGTGTGTGTGCGCGCGCGCGCGTGTGTGTGAAACAAGCTCCGTATTTGTCATATTGATTTAAGTATTCAAATTATAACCCTGAGAAATTCGACTAGAGAATTCGATTTTAGAGTTGGCAGTTGTTATGGGTTGAATTGTGTCCTCCAAAATTGGTGTGTTGAAGTCCTAACTTTCAGTATATCAGATGTGACCTTATTTGTAAATAGAGTTGTTGATACGGATGTAACTAGTTAAGCTAAGATGACACTGTGGGTAGGCTCCTAATACTGTAACTGGCACCCTTATGAAAAGAACAGCATGGGGAAAGGCAGAACACATACGGGGAAGAGTACCAGGACACCCAGGGAGAAGGCGACCATCTACAAGCCACCATGGAGGCCTGGACCAGCCCTTCCCTCGCAGCCCTCAGAAGAGACCAAGTCTGCCGGCACCTTGATCTCGAACATCTAGCTTCCAGATCTGTGAGACGATGAATTTCTGTTGTATGAACTGCCTAGTCTGTGGTGCTTCATTACAGCCTCCATAGCAAATTAATGCAGCAGACAAGTGAAATTATAGGAGTGAGCGATAAAAGAGAAAATTATGGAACCCAGAAAAATAAGGAAGATCTATGCTCAGGAAAAAGAAAGCTGGGACAGCAAAAAAGACCAAGGAGCGTTGCTAAGGCAGAGACTAGGAGAGCTAAGATGGCGTGTCATCCAGAGTCCAGAGGATGAGGCTGGGCAGCAGTGTGTTTTAAAACGTAGATTTTACTATTACTCAGATATCGTGAGGCCAACAGTTGAGGAGACCGCTGTTATTGGAAGGATAGTTTGTTACAATCTCAAGAGACGGGAGCACAGCACGCCAAGCAGGGCCAGTGGAAGCGCAGGGGTCAGGACAGAGGTGTGTGAGGGGAGAATGCGGGCCCTTTCGCTGTGGTTTCTGCAGGAAGGGAAAGGCAAGGCGGGTGAGCAGGGTTAGGACTGGCCGTGTGAATCACGTCATGGGCTCCGGGGGTGTGGAGTGCCCCTCCTTGTCTGGTACTTGGCCCTGGGGTGATTAGGGCTGGGGAAACAGTGGCCCTGAGTGTGAGAGGGGGCAGTGGAGGTGCTGGGGTGTGGGCCTAGGACTGGTGGTTCGCATATGAAAGGCACACTCAGCAGGAGAGTCATTTACTGTCTCTAGCAATTGGCTAACCCTGGGAGGGACCATCATCAGAACACAGAAAAAACAAAACAAAACAAAATCCACTATTAAGACACAGTGTCAAGGTAGCGATGTGGGAGAGGATAAAAACAGGTCACAGCAAGGAAGGGTTTTACCATGAGAGGAGAATAAGCTCCCCAAGGGGGCAGGAACCTCACCCGCTGGTGTCCCATCCCCAGCACCCAGAAGATCCCCCTAAACTTCAGCTATTTCTAGGAAGTGGTGTGGGAGAAAGAAGTTTGCTAACAGTTAAAACAGACTGGTGGCCTCAACAACAGAAATTTATTTCTCACATAAACTTATTTATGTGAGAAATTTATTTATGTGGAGGCCAGATGTCTAAGATCAAGGTATGGGCAGGGTCAGTGGGTCTGAAGGTGTCTCCCTGATATGTGGATGGCACCTTCTCCCAGTGTCCTCATGGTGTTTTCCCTCTGTGTGTGTCTGTGTCCAATTTCCTCTTCTTATAAGGACGCCAGTCATGAGATTAGGGCCCACCCTCATGACCGCATCTTAACTTAATTACCTCTGTAAAGACTCTACCTCACATTCTGAGTTACTGGGGGTTAAGATTTCAACGTGTGCATTTGCGGGGGCACGGCGGGGGATGCAATTTAGTGATAACACTCAGTCTCTTGGGAAATAGAGAACATGACTTAAGGAGACAACCAGACCACCAGCGCATGGAGCACAGGTACGATGTCCTTGCTTTCCTAAAGCTAACATTGGAGCCATTCACCCCCTCGGCCCCTTTTGCAGCTGCTTTGCACCTCATGGGCCTGGCCAACAAGCAATATGCGCTGGAAGCACTCAGAGTCCTGGTTCGAACGCTCAAGACCTACTCTGCTGGGTACACAGGGCTCTTGAGTATCAACTAAGAAAATGATTTAAAAAGTGCATCCCAGTCTACGATGGACTATGTTGGTCATAGTAAGTGAGAACAGCTGTCACCAAAATCACTGCCCAAACAGGAAGCCAAGTTTACTG